TGCGTGGAAACCGGGGCTCGGAGGAAGTGATTGGATGGGTAAGAAGCAATGCAAACGAAGAGTTGCCGTCATTTATCAATCTTTCTCACACGGGCCGTTTGCAATGGTTATCATTCGTACAAACGGAGGCTGCCGTCCATGCGAACTCTAATCTTGTCAAAAGTATGGAATACTCCATCTGACTCCAGAGGCCGGATCGTTACTCATGGTGAGTGACTCACTGCCGTCAGAGAAGTGATGGGTATGGCCTCATGACTGCTCAGTCAGGAAAACATCGTCTTGCAGGAAGAGAAAAAGGGTATCTGATTCATTATAGCAAACTAATATTACATGACCAAAAATAACAATAAACCCATCATTATTTTCCCAATCCTAATTGCCGGTTTTCCTGTTCCCCTCCAAATCCTCCATCATTCAGAACCTTTCTCAAGACAGCAGCGGAACCTCTCCAACATCCCTCCACCCCGCGCCATCAAACCAAACCTCTCTAACCTTGCCTCCACTCTGCAAAAAACACCTATTCATGTCCTTCTGTCCGCTCAACCTCACCTCAGTCAGCTCCCAAAGCGCCATAGTGACGCACGCAATCTCGGTTGCTTTATCAGGCACAACCTTATCCAGTCCCTCGGCTCTCACCGGTCCCTTCCAGCCGTTCTCGTCCTGGTGAGCGTCGTACAACTTGCCGTCATCACCGACGAACAAAACATAGGTATTAACCAGATTCTTTGTTCGTCCATACACGAATCCTCCCATGCTGTTCGTTTTGTTGGTAGGGAACGCAACGCCCGTTGGTCCTGTTTCCACCCATTATCATAATCAGTATCAATTAAATATAAAAAGCAGGGAAGAAGTATAAATTACCATTAGACCAAGCCCACCCATCAACGTTACTCCCGTTACTACTACTCAGGTACGTGCTCAATTCCCCTTTGTTGTTGACGTACAGGAAACCGGCTGCATCCTGGTACGTTACGGCGGTGGGCAACAAGACTAATCCCGTACCCGGGAATGCGTCGACGTTTTGAGGCAAGGTGTAATTCTCCCAGGAGCGTCCTTCGAACGACCAGTCCCTGAAATACTGGATTGTGCCGCCCTGAGTGGAAGGATTGTTCTGGGCGATAAGGACGGGATGGTATGCGGATATTTTTGTGGACGAAGACAAAGGAGTTTGAGCAGAGGTGAGAGAAGTTATTTGAGAGACGGAAGATTGGGTTGATGATTCCTGGAAGCGGTGGCCTGATAGTTGGGATTGGGGGGATAGGTAGTAGAGGGATATTTCGGGCTTTTTTGAGGTATACCAATTAGTATAGAGTAAGAAAAGAGGGAGAGAGAGAGAGTAAAAAACTAACAGGTTGCTTGGCAATATTAGCAGTCGCAGCCAAGGAGGGACTCCCACTCGCAAGAGTCTTGATGCTCGTAAAGTTTTCTGGCTTGGACCACCCTTTATTCCCTTCGCTCGAGTATCTCGAGCGACGAATGACGCCGTCTGCCCCTTGATAAAATAGCCAGATGTGGAAGAAGGCTCCCTCCCGCCATCCTGTTGCTGCCAAGGGCGAATTTTGTTTTATTATTGATTGGAAGGCGGCAACCGATGCGGCAGTATTTGATGTCGTTGTTGCCGTTGTTGCTGTCGTTGTCGAAGATGCGGAGGCTGGGTTACTTAAATTGCTCTTTGGAGCCTTCTTCATCTCTCTCGATCCCACAACTCCCCCGATGATGCATCCCAGCACCACTAGCACGCCGATTATTATGGCCAGGACGAGCCATAGTCGTCTAAAAGACTCGCCCCTCTGGTTTCCCCCGTCTTGCCTTCTTCTTCTTGGCTCTCCAGGCTCAGAGTATTTAAGAGGAGCAAATTTGTTTCGCGAGTATGCTGAGGAGGAGCCTCCTCCTCCCCCTCCTCCCCCTCCTCCTCCGTCCTGTCGACTGTCGAGAAATCTGTTATTATTGTTTGCGGTTGGAGATTGTACTCTGTTATCACTACTGTGTGCGGGGACGACTTCGGGATATTTCCCTTCCCGATCTGTTGCTACCTCCAGTCCTTCCCTCTCGAATACCACTTCCAGACCTGGTTGAGAATCACGAGAATCTGAGTCGTACTGGAATCTTGTCAGGGATGACATTGTTATGGTGGTAGTAGTAATCGGTATTGATGGTGGTTATATCTCATATCCTTTCATCGCAAGACCATCCCCTTCCCAAAGAAAAGGACCACGCGTTCCGTTGTCTGTGTGTAATTGTGTGATGTGTGTATGTGTGTGTGTGTGTGTGTGTGTCTGTGTGTCCCTTCAGCCGGGAGGGGAAGTGGAAGGGGAAGGGGAACGGGAAGAGGGGTGATACAAAAAGATACGCGTGTGCTTCCTCTCATTCATATATATACATGTATAATCTATCTTCAGCTCCTCAGCTTCTCAGCCCTTCCTTCCTCGACCACTCCCCCCGGACGTTGTTAGGTATGATTCACCCATCCCAGTCCGTTCTTTGGACACACCCTACCCTTCCAAAAGAAACGATCCGAGCGCACGAGCGCAATCTGCACCATTTTCCTTGGCTTCCCGAACCCGAGAGAACTCTAACATACAATTCCAATTGTAGACAGACAGGGCAGACAAAACTAATTGCCGAAGGGGGGGACGGGCGGACCTGGGGTGATGGTCCCCCCCCCGCCGTCTTTCCCAAGATTGGTCCGACCATTCAACCACAAAATCAAACCCCTTGAACGTGCGGCGGTTAATTATTCTTTATCACCTTCGCTTCTTTTCTCCCGGTACCAGAGCACCCAAAACCGTTTATTTTCATCATCACCCGTTTAGATGATACTATTGTTGGGGGTGGTGGTGCTTCATCTAAACGTAACCAACCACGCTAACAAAGGTCGGTACCAACCCGTCTTCTTCTTCTTCCTCTTCCTCTTCTTCTTCGTGATGAAGTCAGGTAAGGTGCTTGGCAGCTTCTGTTTGCACAGACACTAACCGTTAGTCCCTACCAAAGGTTTGCTTCCGGAATAAACGTTTGGCGTAGCAGTCAACCCAAGTTTGACAGGTCCCTTTGCCATTTAGTGTCCGTGATCTTCGTTCCGATTCCGAATGGACGAGAGAGGGTTCGTCTGGGGGACTTGGCATTGTCATGCTTACCCCCCTCCCCGGGCTTTTTGTAACGCAGGCCTGCATATGTGGCCCCCTGAAAAGTTGAACTTGACACCAAAAGGGATTCGTTCTGGAAATTCTTGGGTGTCTAACCAATCAGAACCAACGATAATTTACAGTACATACCGCGCGCGTCGTTGGCTTTCTGGTTTCAAGCGTTCATAAAAAACAAACCTTGACTCGCTGCAACATTGGAACAGCTGGGAAATGCAATTGGGAGGCACATAATACTTGTGGCCCTGTGACGGAGATAAGTGCCATAAATCCTGGGGAAAGAGGAGAAAAACGAAATTCCCATTGGATGATAACGACGTCACGAGGTTTGAGCTCTGGAAATCCGGGGATGTGATGAAAGTCTGAAGCCGTTTTATTTGCCGCCTTTTTTTCTTTTCTCCTGTCAGGAGAGACAGACACAAGAAATCCGGGTTCTTTGTAGTGATCGTGTAACCGGAATCACCGCAACACATCATCCCATTTCCTTTCCCTTCCCTTCCCTTCCCTTCCCTTCCCGCTTCTTTCTTTCAAGCGAAAAGGGAGAAAACATGCATGCATGGAAAGCAAATATCGCTAGGTATAATTCCATGGTTGGGCCCACATGTATTTTCTGGCCCCCATCCCGTCCACCATCCATGCATCCGTCCATCGTTGCCTTATCCATCCTCTCGGTACCACCCGTTATTCTGCGCCTCGTCCTACCCCGTAATTAGTCCATGTCGGATCCGGAGAAGCAATCATAATGGCCGCGGTATTATTAAGGTGCTACATAGTACCGGCATCCGGAATCCTGAATGAGTGATAGAGATGGAGAAAAAAGAGAGCGAGACATGGCTCTGTTACGGACCAAACATGACAAGCATAAGTGGTGCTTTCGGGACTCGGATGGAATGACTTCCTTCCCGTACCACCATACACGTTTAGAGATATCGCCATGAGCAAGTTTGTCTCGTGATTGCGTGCACACGTTACTAGTAGGTAGTCTTCTAGAGGGCCTCCAGAGATCTTCACAACCTCCGGCCACGACCACACGGCCTCCATCAACATCTACACTATGTACATACATGGGTCGCATGGATTTGTCAAGTAGAGGTCGGTCCAAGTTCTCAATGGATCTCTTCGGAGATCATCATGTTGAAGTCCAAAATCAAGTTCTGAAGAGCTTTCTATCTCCTAATGCTTGTGGCTATTATCATTCACACATGGCGGCAGCAACAAAAGGCCATAAATTATCCTGCCATTGTTTTTTTTTTTTTAGTCTAGATTTCAGTTGTTGTGTGGTTCTCGAGTTGTCGTCACCGCCGATGAATCAAGCGATTGGGGCGGCGCTCGACAACTCGTCTTTATCATAACAATGAGGTTTTTTCTTTCTCCCAGTATCTAGACACGCCATTCGTCACAGTTGTTTGTTGTCTGTATTCTCACCTCAAACTTGGCCCCCGAATGATGATCCCAAACTGCTTAATATTCACCCACCCGTGCTTTCAAAAGCCTTGACCCCCTCCTCCTATAGCACGCACGGCAAGGTCAGGTAGTGAGTGACTTCCCCCTTTCTCCTTTCTCCTTCCTCTCTCTCCCCTTCAGACTTTCACGTTTCTTTCTCCCCTTTGGCCATGTCGCACCGGCCCCCAATATCCCTAGACCACAAATCACTTTACCGTTCTGACACTCGAAATTCCCACTCAGAACCTCTTGGAACAGTGATGACGTTCACCCCTTTCTTCCGAACCATGGATCTCACCCGCCACAAAAACAACCACAACCTCCACCGCAACCGCAACTCCCACGCAAGCCACAGCCAAACCTTCCTGAACTCTCCCTCCCCTTCATAAGCAAGATTTCGAAGAAGCAGCATTCAACGGTCCTGTGGGCGAGTGGTTAACCACCTGGTCAACAGCGTTTGATTTCACCCAGCGTTGCATTTCCTAAAGCGGAAGTTCAGCGAAGGGGCCAGGAAGACGTCAGTTCGAACCTGACCGGGACCAAGAATTTTTCTTTTTTTTTTTCTTCTTTGCTTCTTCTTTTTTTGCTTCTTCTTGTTTTCCGGTTTACCTATTCTTACAGTTCTTATAGGCACCGATTAGAACCAACCATCCGACGACCAATACCGATAGAGGGAGTGAGAGAGAGGTGTGAATTCCTGTGCCAATCATGAACTTGAGCCGATAATATAAGTGAACAAGCCCGCATAACTCACATGAACGAATCGCATGTTTTTTTTTTTTTTTTTCCCTTTCTAGTTCAAAAATCAAGGTTTTGGTTTGCGATAGGAATTGTAAAAAAAAGACTTTGCCCTGCCCGTTCCCAACGAATCGCAATGTCTATCGATTCATCCGCTGTTACAACAACCTCTTGGGCAAAAAAAATGTCGTCTTCGTCTGCGGAATATTAACTGGAAGAAAATTCAACAAAGTTTGAAGCTGCAGGGTTGGTATAGAGAGAGAGAGCCCCTGAAATATCCTGTTTTGAGAATGAATGAAAGTCGGAGGGAAAAAAGAAATACCAGAAAGTGAAACTTCATTTCCAGTATCATCTTTCGAAACTCATATACTCTCTAAAAGGGGTTGTGGGAGATGATAAATTCACCAGAGGTTTGGTACATACATAAACCTACAAAGTTCGTGGCCGAGAATGAAACCACAGTCAGAAAAACAACAGTCAGAAATACCGAGTTGGATGTATCAGACTTACCAAGTTTGATGGAAAGTGTCGCCCGTTCCCAACACACGATTCTCATTTGCTATCTTCATGTCATCATGGCCAATCATAAAAAATCTGAATCACCTTCACTATTGCAACACCTGATCCCCAAAAGAGAAGATCCATAACGAAGCACAATGTATGCCCATGAAAAGAAATCCAAGCAAAATACAAGAAATAACAATAGAAAAACATGACCCTTTTTTTGGAATTTCAACAAATAAACAAAAAGTCATGCCCACATCCTCAACTTTACCAAGCCTCCCAAATAGCAGCAGGCAAGACAGTCCTCATGATCCCCCAATGCCCAGTAGCGCTCATCTCATGCCACTTGACCAGCCTCTCCGTCTCATTCTTCCTCAAAACACCCGCGCTCTCCTCGCTGGGCGCAACAAAGTCGGTGTCCTTTACCTCATGCTGAGGCATCAGGAAAGCCTGTCTCGACGGGCTGTTGAGCATGTCCCTCTCGGTAGGGTTGCGGAACCTTAGTTTGCCGCTCGTTTGCTTGGTGCAAAAGATGACCATGTTCGTAAAATCCCCGCCGGTCTTCTGGAACAATAGATCATCACGAGGGTGCTCGCGGAAGTTGCGGCATGTAGGGAAGACGGTCTTGATAGTTTCGACGATGATGCGTGGTGGTGGGAGGGCGAGATCTCCTGCGTAATTCTAAAAAACTGTTAGTGCGGAGCATGATAGGCGAGGGGAAGAAAAGCTTACAATAGCAATGACACCGTTGGGCTTGAGCAGCACGTTGAGGTTCTGCAGGAACTCCAAAGTGAAGAGAGGGATAGGCTCAGCACCACCAGTGAATACATCATGGATGATGTAATCATATCTCTGCCCCTGCTCATCAGCAGCAAGCCGATCAGTGTAGCTGACTGCATCCTCAATAACCGACGTATGGTTCTTGGGAAGCTGGAAGTACTTGGAGGCAAACTTGTGCACAATAGGGTCAATTTCCACGACCGTCGTGTCAATGCCGTGAGCCACAAGAGCAGCAGGAGTAGTTCCGATACCCAGACCACTAACAGAAGTTAGCTTTCTCTCCCTATCATTTTCAACGACAAAACTCACATAACCAACGCCTTGGCCTTTTCATCCTTGACAGGCTTCTTCATCTCAACCAATCTCACAGCCTCCAACATGGCAAAAACGCCGTAGATCGGTTCAGCGACCTGATTGCCCTCAAACTGAGGTTGCCCAATAAACTTGACCCACTCCCCTCCCAACAGACTATGATCGCACCTCATGAGTCTATACCCTTCCTTGGGACTGTCGATCACGGAAATATAACCCGTCAAACTCTCCGCCCTCTCCATAACCACATATCCAACATTTTCCAACCCCGCATTCAGTCTACCCAACGCCAAATCCGTAGGAGCATGCGTATTCAGCAACGCAGTATGCAAAACAGCCGGCAAAGTAAACAATAAAAGCTTACTCGGCGCAAAAAGCGCACAACTAGCCGCCAGGACCATCTCCATGCCTATCCGCGTGTTCAACACCGTCCGTCCCACGTACTCCTCCACCTTCTCTCCAAGGATCTTTTCCGCCCCCTTGAAAAACCCATAGCTGCCCAATCCAGGCAATGCCTCCCCAATGAAACTGGGCAGCTTGCTCCCAACACCCAAATCCGAGCCATCCAAGTAAGTAGCCACGCAACCCGCGCTGACAACCACAAGAGGAAAAAGCGTAACCAGCTCCGTAACCAACGGGCCCCAAACGGCAGTCAAAACCCCACTGGACTCGGCAAGGAAATACTGAACGACAGGCACGTAAACAGCCAACAGCGGAAGTAGCTTCTCAGGCTTGAAGGGCAATGCCCTGCCCAGAATCAAATTCGAAGACCACCCCACGAAGCAGCCGGCCATGACCAGTTGGGAATGCCATTTCGCCGAGGGGATGGATCCGTACACGGGAGAGAGGTTCAACTGGGAGACGCGCGAGTAGATAGCAATGAGAGAGAGGAGTAAAAAGGATTTGGTATAGATGGTTACTTGTTCTCCTAACCTTTTGTAGGGCGTCTCGGTGCGTGCTTTTGCGGCTAGGGATTTGAGTTCTGCTTCGAATTCCTGTCGGGATTTTTGGATCGGGATTGGCTCTTCATGCGTGGGAGGTAACGGTTGTGATGATGATGGTGGTTGTGAGGGGGTCCCTGGGTAGGGGGATGGTTTTCTTTTGAGTCCTGGTGCCATTTTGACAGTTGGTGATGATCTGTCACACTCACAGAACAATGAAGATGTTGGAGATGGAAGCCCAAGAAATGTTTTATTCTGGATGATGTGGTCTCATTTTGGCGATTGGTTGGTTTCAGATTCAGGCCGTCAACGCACGATCAAAGGAGCTTCAGGTGCCGCACCACACTTTTGGGACATTGCCCAGGAAGCTTTCAGTGGGCATCGGTGGACTGCACGAAGCTCCCCCCCTGTTCCCTTGTTTCTTGGCGGAGGGGGAGCTTTGCCCGGTCTCCTTGGGTGGAGTCAACGTCATTGGGGTTTACCCCCACTTTCCCCAAGGCTTCAACGAAAAAAAAGGCAAGGTTCCCTTGCCGGGCGGTCTGCACATGCTTTTCAAGGCCAATTTTTCTGTAGAGGGGAGACAGACTTCTGTCCTCTGCCACGAGCTTCTGTGGTTTACTTGTCCCGCTTCCTTCCCCAGATTAAAAAAAAAAGCTCCCGTGCAACCTTGAGCTTCACGAATTGGTGTTTTCTTCCCATACCTACCTACCCCTCCATTACCACTACACACCATGTCGTCTCTTCCCGTGTCCTTCTCCGAGCTGGTTGAATATGTTGATTTCAACAAGCGCAGCTTCTTGAGTATGTTGTCTTCGGGCCGAATTACATTTTAATGTGGTCTTTCTCTGACGACGAACTCTAGTCTCGGCTGCTTCAATTGCTTTCAACCCAACGTTCTGGAAGTAAGTTCTAGTTCTAGAAACCATGACTTGCAAGAGAGAATGGTCACTAATAAGGGACTTGTTACAGTATCGTTGCCCGTAAAGAATACCGCACCAAGTTCCTTACCAAGGCTTTCCGTGGCAACAGAGATGTAGCGTGCTATGCTCTCGCCGTGACCATCTTCGGTCTCGGTCTTGTTCGCGACTTCCTCTACGAGCGCGCCCTTCGTGATCAGCCATCGCATCCCGCTCTCGCGGGACAGAATGTCACCTACGCTGCTTATGCACTGTTGGGTATTGGAAACCTTTTGGTTGCTTCCTCTACATGGCAGCTGGGCATTCAAGGCACCTTCCTCGGTGATTACTTTGGTATCCTGAAGGACAAGATGATTACTGGGTTTCCATTCAACATTACGAGCGCCCCCATGTACCACGGTTCTACCCTGAGCTTCCTCGGTACTGCTCTTCTCTACGGAAAACCCGCCGGCATCTTCCTCACTCTTCACGTTCTCCTGGTCTACACCATTGCGATCCAGTTCGAGAACCCCTTCACTGCCGGTATCTATGCCAAGCGCGATCGCGAGAGAGCCAAGGCCAAGGCCGGTGGCTTCGAGGAGAAGAAGGAGCTTTAAAGGAGTTGAAAGCTGCGTCATAGCAGCTTGGGGGATATAATATGGGAGAAGCGCCTAGGGCCTTCGGTTCAGGTTGACCGACGACATCCATAAGCAGGGCACGCCGTCTGTTTTGTCATGATCCTCTGGAAAAAGAAGATCGTCGCCAATTGCAGACTGCTTGATCCCTTTGCTCCTTTTTGGTGGCCCAGCGAGCGAGATTTTTGACGACAAAATCTTGGCAGTGGACAAACAGACAATGTTCCTCCCCTCAACGAATATGGTGGGTTGTGGTGCAGGATTATAAGCACCCGGCGGAGGATAAGATTAATTCTGAGGAGGATTTATTTTCCAATGTCGATGGTCATCAACTGGCCCAACAATGCCAACTTAAACACATACATACACACATACATACACACATACAGACAAGACAAGACAAGACTAGACAAGATACATATCAAACACAGACACATGGAGTTTAGAGGACCAAATCATACAATTTATTCGCCCGCGGCGTCTGTCGTGTTCATCAGAGACACGGGTTATAAAGTTTGAACTACTTGAGACCCTTTGGGGCATGGAACGTGCGTGTGCACCGGGTCAAGTGGCGCTTTGATTTGCAGCGGTCAATATTGCTTGTTGAGATGTGATGACGTGCCGGAACGGTCGGTGCATTGTGTGCGTTTGAAGCGGGTTCTTACTCAGCTAGTGTTTTCTGACTGAGATTGCAAATCGCATCTGATCAGAGTGACGATGCATGTTTGAAAGGAGG